GGAGGGAGCAGTGGGGTCTGGTACAGGGCGGGGAGCTGGCGGGAGGGGGTTTTGTGGGAAAGCCTTTGCCAGCAGCAGCTGTCACTGAGCGTGAGGTGAGTTTAATCATTTTCAAAGAGCTGTGTTCATTTTGCCGCTTGTCCCGTCACTCTGCCGTTGGGCATAGGTTTCATTTCGTGCCGAGATCTGTGTTAAACACATCATCAGCTTGCTTTACGTACAGATAACACTGATTTCCATGTCACTTAGATGCTAAAGATTTTTAAAGTGTATAATAGTAGCGTATGCAAGTAGCCTTCATAATTAAGGGGTTTTTCCTAGATCGTTGAGGTACACAAATACATTCTCTGAATGTTTGAAGCGTTTTCCTTGCACCGTTACATGAACGTCAGGCTGTGACAATGCGTTCGTGATGCTGCCGCAAAATGCTGGGTTTTTTAAATCCCTGCTGCTCTTTGCCATTTTATGCAACAGGCATTTATGGAATTGCATATGGAACTGAGTGTGCCAAAAAATCAACTAGGATGAATACTCATGATTTGGATCAGTTTCACATTCTACTTCACCATATTCACCATATGACTGCAACAAACACAGTTGGTGTGCAGGGAAAAATGTCTTGGGTTTTTTTGTTTGTTTGGTTTTGGTTTTGGGTTTTTTTTTCATAAGTAGTGCTAACATAAATGTACAACAGACTGGCCTAGAATTCAACCAAGGTAGTTGTTACAGAACTCGCAGTACATGATTGATACGCATTCTTGGCTGCAAGAGAAATGCAAATAAGAAACGTGCACGTTGTGCTAATATCTAAGTGACATTAGCTTGATATTGGGAGGTGTTGTTAGCAACGAAGGCAGCTTGGTCTGTGACTTAAGCAGATAATGTGCGTGGTGGCAGCGGCAAGCACAGAGCAGCCTCTGTCGTGTCTGCAAACAGCTCTGTTAGCAAGCCCATTAATTTTAGATGAATGGACACCTAAAATGAAACTTGAAATGTCTCATATCAGAAAACCTCAGGCCTTAGTTTATGTTGCTACAGGAAGAATAATTAGCTCTTAGTTTAAACTGGAATCATTAACAATTAGGTTACTTAACATTACAGAATATTAAAAGACATGGAAAGGCAAAACAAGCAGTTCTCTTGTTGCACACACCCGCAAAGGATGATGTTTTATTTCTTTCTTGGAAACTCCTTAGACAGAAGGAAGCAGCTCCTTGCCCAAATTGGTAATTCTAGAAGAAAGTTCTGATGACTCTGTTGGAGGAGAAGAGTTCCCAAGTAGTTACCAAAGTTACATTTTCTCCAATAACCACACGTTTCAAGTTAATTTTCTTTTTACCTACGAACTTAAGCAAATGTTCTTGTGATAAAGTTGGTATTTATGACACTGGATTTGTTGTAACACTGGAATATTCCCCCCCCCCCAGAAAATTGGCCTTTTAGGCTAATGAACCTAATTAGCCTTTAGGCATTTTTGTTTTCTTTCCTGTCCAGCAAGTCAGATTATTATTTCAGGGAGAAATAAAATACATGTAAAGGACATTTAGATTATGGAGGCAGACATTTGGAAACTAGGAAGTGGTGGTCTCCACTAACTGCTTCTTCGTGTCTCCCTTGTAGTCTTGTCTTTTCCCCTTTATTTTTGTGCTTTGATAGGCAGCTTTGTCTTCAACACCTGGCGACAAACAGCAGGCATAGCAGTAGCTTGCAGGAATGATGTTCATGCTCTTTTCTGTTCGGATTTCTTTAGTAAGGTTGTTCAGAACATCACGGGATCTGGTAAAACTTCACCTGGGTTGTACTTCCTTTCTTTATCACTGCGTCATTCTGAGGCAGCCATCCATGCAGGTCAGAAAGACTGGGCAGAGGTGACAGCTACAACTGCCTGTGCTCATCTTCCGTTGGCTTGTGGAAAGATGCACCAGCTTGGGAGGGAAAGGAGTATGGGTTCAAGTCTGATCTGGGTGCCAGTCATCTGGCTGGATGCAGATCGTTTTGACATCATTCACCTGCTGAAAGAGAGACGTTTTGGTGCATTGCTTAGCATAAGATAGCATAGGAAAATGCTAAGAGATTAAAAAAAGGTGGCGATACGTTGTCTGAATGCATCATGCAGGTGTCCCACCCACTTGTAGCTTTAGTTATACTGTGTTGAGTGCCTGGACGTAATTGGACAGAGGACTGAGGGGAATAAGAAATCAGTTTGGGACTTTATGGCCTGGAGACAGACAGCCCGCTTAGTAAGAGACCCGCCAGTAGGTGTTTTTCAGTTGTAGAGTAGAACAGCGCTATGTTATCCAGGAGGTACATTTACTTACATATTATAAAACACAATTAAATCAGGTAACTGGATGTTAGTGGTATGATAATGTGGGGCCTCTACACTGAGCTACTGCTAAGCCGGTGTTCTTGCATTGAACTTCTGTTCTGAGAGAAGTTTCCATCTGTGAGATCCCTGAAGCCTTTGAAATGTAATCTTTGAATTTATGTTTAGTTTCCTTTGCTTACAATCTAGCCACTTATTTCAGAAGTTTTGGGTTTTTTTTCGGAACTTTTTAGCTGAAATTTAAGTATTTTAGGTTTGTCTTCTTTCCTGTGTGTTCTTTCCACACTTAATTGCATAATCACTGGTTTTGTACATCCAGCGTTTTTTTAAATGATGACGCTTCCATATCTTACATTGTGTTGCATCATTTTTTATTTCTGCATTGTAAAAACATATTAAATAAATTTACCTTTTCTTTCCTATCAGTACAAAAGCCATGGCTTTTCAAGTGTACTCCTTGAACTTTCACAGTTCACAGCTCTCATTTGGGGCCATCCTGCACAAAGCAGCACTAACATAGAAGGTGTTTTGTGATTTGGACTTTGATTACTCCCACCTAACTCTCCATTGCAACGTATTTCAGACAATATTGTGTTACTGGCTTTCTGTGGAATCACCTACTGCATTTCGTATGTAAAGTTAAATCTACAGGGTGTGATACTGCCCTCCTTTGAGACACGTTGCACCAAAAGCCTCGAGTACTCTGAATTTTGCAGTGTATCTGTATGGTCTCAACAGGCATCCAAATACCTTGTAAAGATGGGTGATGAAGGTAGCTTAAAAGGATATGAAAAATAAGAACAGAGATATAGTATTAATGGATTACCATTGAAAATAGCCTAAGGCCAGGCAGGTATTTGAGGGTTGTATCGTAAAAATATTTAACAGAAGCTTACTGCTTATACCCAGTCTGTTTTCAAATCAAATCATACTTTTTTCCTGTAGGTATTATATCCTCCACATTCAAAACTCACAGATAAAGAGGTAAGTAATGGTTGCTGTGTAAGTATATAATTTGTTTTTAATTTAGTAATTTGAGGAAATATAACATGTCTCTTTTTTCTTTTCCCCAACCTTTAGAAAACCAATATTTGCTATTTGTCTTTTCCAGATTCTAATTCAGGTGAGTGCTTCCCTTGCTCTGTGGTTGTCTGCTGTTAGACTAAGCTGTGCTAAAAAGATAGAATTTGACAGTATATATTCTTGGTTTTAGATTAAATACTTATATTAATATGTATCTTAATATTACAATACAGAAGAGTTGCGAATAAGAATAAATATAAAAGTGTAATTGTCTGTATTGCCATAAGGTCTGAGAACTGTTGTTATTTTACATAAGTGAAATATCAGGAATGTGAATGCGTGAGACCTTCCAGAGACACGTGCAGATGTTTCGGAAGACTTGGCAAGTAAAGAATGAACGTCTTAATCTTGCTTTTAAACAAAATAAAAATACTCTCACTATAGAGAGGAGTGTGGGCACAGAATGTGAAAGGTTCAGTAAAGCCAATGGAAGCGATATGGAAGCCTCTTCTCACAAAGGATTTGTGTATTTTCTAAGTTCATAGCCATGAAACTGACTTACAGATTCCGAAGCGTTAAGAAAGCTTAAGTTTTCCCTTCACAACTGTTCTGTCTTCTCTGCTCTTGATGCTTCTGTTGCTGTGTGTGGTCCTGCTCACTAAATTCTGTAATCTAAACTCCTACTGTTCTGCTGCCAAAGAGAAATTGGAGGCACGTGGCTGATGACTTGGACCACCTGCACAAAGACACGGCAGAAGTACAGACACTTCCTTTCACAGTTTTTTTACAAAAGTCAAAAGATGTAGTCACAGACTTGTCCCTGTAACTGCTCTGCAGCACAACAACTCTGATATGTGGTGGTGCTAATGTGTGTTTTTAATGTGTGTGTGAGCTCTCTGACCTGATTCTACTAAACATATTTGTTAATTTTTGACCTTTTAATTTTAATGACATTAAGACAGATACTTTGTTTGTCATATCCTGTATATAAATAGCAGAAAAGCTGCTTTCTGTTACTGAAAGAGATGAGTTAACTGCCTCTTCTTACTACTCTTGTTGTCAATGGTTCCAAGTCTGGCCAACCTCCAGAAGGTTTATTGAAGGTACAGAATAATACGTTAGAAACAAGGCTGATTTTTAAATTTTTTTTCAGTTTTTTTTGTTTTGTTTTCAAATAAGTGTGGTAGTGAAGTTGTTTTAGATGGCATAGGTATATGCAATGAGGGTTTACTTGCAGCAGGAAAAAAATCCCACCTTTTTGCTATTTATTATGTCCCTATTAATCCCTATTAATATCCTGTAGGTTCTTGATTGTTCTTGGTAGGCTGAAGTTTCAAATTATGTAGAGGGATTACCTACGTAAAACCTGCGTTCTAGAAATTGGCTGGCAGTGTGTGCTAGCTGTTATGGTGTGTTTTTACATCATAGGCTGTAATATAAAAAGAAAAGCTTTGTAATGTAGCAGTGAAGGAAGTTATTAGTTTGCAGGTAAATTTTAGGTCAGTCTTTCTAGGTTTTCGTGTTTGCAAATGTTAATTCAACTTTTTTGTTTCCTTTTACAACTACAAAGAGATATCATTTTAGGATGTGTAGTGGCTGTGAATTCTGGGGGAAAATTGATTTAATCAGGTACAAGATCATGGCACTTTCTGTATTTTTAAGCTGAGTTTTCTTGGACAGTTATCTTTAAAATAATGCTTTCGCCTTTTCTGCTTGGATAGTTGAAGAAGGGACAGATATTTATCAATCTTTTCAAATTCTAATACCAGAAGAGCTTGTTAAATAAGAAGCTGTCATATTCTGAATGATATTTCAACCTATTAATGATTAAGAGTAATTTAATTTTGGATCTTCTATGTATAGATTTATATAATAGCTAGTAAAAAAAAAATCACCTATAAAAACTTTGAGGAAATTTAGTGCTGTGTTGTTGGCACATGCTGCATTTTTTCTTGTTAGGATTGGATCCAAATTGCTAAGCTCTTAGTTTAGTTACCTGTTTGAACTGGATGGTTGTCTCGTCACACGATGTTTGGTTACTTTTTGGTTTTATCTGTAGGTTTCTTGCTGCAGCTTCAAGGGGTTCTGAGCCTCAGACCTGAATGCTCTGAACGTGCCAGTGTGAATCCATGCTGCTGGTTGCACGGCCAGTGGATTTGGCTGGGCGTCTGGGCTGGCTGTGGTTGCTGTAACTGTGTATGTGACTGAAAGGGAAGAAGATGAAATTGAGCTGTTAAGTCTGAAGAAAGGCTCCCTGAAGGATGGAGCTCTGCCTTGCTGTTCCGCTGTTAGCACTGGCTGATGTCAGACAGGGCAGCTGTGAAGAGTTCAGAGCATCAGTAGTGACTCATTTTTTTCGTGGAGTTCTGTGAAAGTTATGTCCAAAAGCTGTAAGGGCAAAGCACTAATGAAGAAGTTAGAATCGATATGGAGAAGCAAGTGTCCTTTGCTAGCTGCAAACTTATTGCTGTAACAGGCGCTCTTAAGTTTAACAGTAGGTTGTTTTTTATAGTCACTTACATGAAAATTTACACTGTTACGGTGTAGATAGTCTGCTTACCACTGGCTGACAGTGCTCAGGACGTTGTCTCTCAGCTGACTGTGTTCATGTAGTAACACTGCATTCCAAAGGGACAAAAGGACTTTTTTTTTTACAGGTTTGCTAGAATGAGTTATGTACCTGCATGTTGTTAAGCGTCTAGCAGTCCCACTTAGCACTGTTCCTGTGAGCACCACACTGTGTTCAGCTTATACAGCTCCAACTTAAAGGTATTTCGGAGCTTCTGTTTTAACAGGAGAAAACATCTGTAATGGCAATAACACAGCTATGGAAGTATCGGTGGTACAAGTTCTGATAGTTCAGTTCTTGTGTTCCACCTGGTGAAAGTTCCTTTGGTATCTGATACAAACTTAGCCCAGATTTATTCTCAGACTGCAAATACTTGATATACTTAGTTACATTTTTCTTTCAGAAATCAGTTTTGATAGAAAGGAAGGGAAACTTCACTCCTTGGAGGAATTACTGGGAAGTAATACTCACTTTCACTCAGTGTTCTGCAGTTACTTTTGCAGCTTTCAAGAATACTGAGTCCTAGGCCTGCACGTGGAGTCGGAGGAGATCAGCATAATATACTTTCTTCCAGTGTGACTTATGTATGAACAGTTTGGTTTCAAAAAAGGTTAAGTGCAGCCACTCAACGGAGAAGATAGAACTGTACAGGCAAATGAATAAAATGTGTATTGACAGTATAAGGACCACCATTAGTAGAGCTGTTTAAGGACACGACAGTCTAAGGAACTCACTGAGAGGCAGAGCGACTTTTCTTCTTGTTGAAGGTAGGCTGTTTACTGTTGCCAAAGATGCTGAATTGTTCAGTCATAAAAATATAAATGTAGAAACGGTTGCAAGAGCAGGACACAATAGCAGTGCAAGATAAATGAACCAAAGCTGTTCTATTACTTTGACTGTAGACAAGTCCTCATGTTAACAAGGCTCAGACTCTGAATGCTCTCTGTTTCTTGTGTGTCTCTTCCTCCCATGTAGGTTGTCTTGGGGACACACAGTTTTGTTTTAGATTTCGACGGTCTCCTGGAAGGAAAGTCTCCCTGTGTTGTTTTCTGGACCAATTGGATAGAGATCTACCAGTTTACTTAAAGGTTGGAAATAAGAAAAAATGAAGTTAATTTCTTGTGGGTAATGTTAATTTATGGCTCTTCATGCTTAAATTTAGTGCTTGAAAAACAAACTTTCTGAATTGAATGTCCTGAAAGACAAAGCTCAACAAAAGTTTTTTGTAGCATGTTGTTACAATAATAATTAACTAATAATTAGCTCCATTAACTACTATTTTTGTCTTTCTTACTATGGGTTTTGGACTGCAGGGAATTAAATTGATGAGCAGACTGATTTTGTTACCGACTAGAAAGATGTAGATCAAAATGTTAAAAACCATTACTTTACTGGAAATCTGCTGTGCTTTATAACTTAAAAAAAGATTGAGATGTGTGTCTGTTTCCACTCTTCATTTTTTTGAAGATGGAGCAGTTATCTAAAGGAGGTAATGGCCAAAAAGTTAATCTCAGTATTCCATGAGGACTTTAACTATGACAGTGGGAATCTGATTCTCAGACTTCATTTGATTTGGTTATGTGGCAAATATTTAAATTCCTATTTGTAGGAAGGATTAAGCTGATGTTTGTCTGTGGGATGTGAGAGCACACTTCCTTAATACTCCAAGAATCTCTTGTAGAACGAATACAGTGAAAGACTACATTTTATCTTTTCAAGTCAGGGCTTTAAGGTTTTTAACTGCTAAAATCTTTTTTACTGCTGCTTTGCAAAATTGTAAGTGTTGATTTATTCCTCAGGAGATTAATTCCAGATTTGCTTTCATGGTGTGTCAGGAGAATATAGATGTAAAAATAGTAAAGCCAGAAAGCACAGCTGTTTCCACACACTGGTGTTTTCTCTTTGAAGTAGTTATTAAAAAAAATAATGCCAGTAAACAGAGTAATCCTTCTAGTTTATTATATCTAATCAACTTCGGAGCTTGCAGGGAAATAAGCTTTTAAAATGCCTACTGAATGCTTCAGAAAGAAGGGCACTATCAGGTAGCTGTATTGTTTTCTTTCTTTTGCAGAAAGATCCAGCATATTACTATGGCTATGTGTATTTCAGACAAGTTCGAGACAAGTCGTTAAAAAGAGGTTACTTCCAGAAGGTAATTTCAGTTCTCCTAGGAAAATATGAATTCACAAACTATTTTTCAGTGACCTCAGAGGAGCAAGCAGGGTGTCTTGCTCTCTTAACTAAATTAATTGTTGATTTATATTAAACAGGTCTAATTTTACCTCAGCTATGCTATGTTCCAGCTGTGCAGCCAGAACAATTTTTGTGTGTTTAAAAACAAAAAGCTGGGAATTTTTGGGAGCTGGTTTTTTTCCATTGCCTGTAGTCAAACGTGTGGTTGGCTTGCGCGTGTGAGAATAACACCACCTGACATTCTCTGCGGATAACCGGTAGAACTGCAGTAGAACCGAGAGAAGGGCTGAACTTAAATTCTGTTTTTGTTTTGTTGCTCTTTATTCCAGTCACTCGTCCTCATCAGCAAACTACCTTATGTCCATCTCTTCCGCACCATGCTTAAGCAAATAGCGCCAGAGTATTTTGAAAAAAGTGAAGCTTTCCTGGAAGCAGGTAGTGGTATGATTATGTTGTTCTGGAGGAGCTCCTATAATATCACGTGCTTCTTTTGGAGAAATAACAGTACCTTCCACACAGTAGTCTGCATTTCTGTCTTCTTGCAGGGTAGAGCGTTGAAACTTTCGCAAACTGGCTTGGTTTCTAGATAATTCAACAGAGCTAATCTGCAGTTGGACTCGATGATCTTTAAAGGTCTTTTCCAACCTAAATGATTCTATGACTCTAATTTTGGGTCCTCCATGGGAGAGTTGAAGCTCCCCTCTAAAAGACATCCAGGATTTTGGTGTCTGTTTCAGTACCAGCTGTTCTGTACAAGTCGCTGAAGATGATTCTTACTTTGCTCTCTTCACAAATTGAGTCCTTTTGGGCATTCTTGCAACTTCTGTTAAGCAATTGTACAAATATCATCATGAGGGGTTTTTGTGGTTTGTGTGGGGGTTTTTTTGTGGATTGTTTTGGGGTATTTTTTTCCCAAAGCAAAAAAGCAACAGAGGAGCACTGACAACAGGTGCTTGAGTCTTCATGTGGAACTTTAAGAGCCAGGGAGGGCCAAATGGGCAAGGCCTTTGCCTGGAAGTGCCATGTTCTTTTGTACTGTGTCTGCTCTATACAACATCTGCATCTCTTTGATTTCACTGAGCAGCAGTTTGTGGCAACCTTTATTGATGAAGGAATTGTATTTTTTTAACCACACGTAGATAAACAGGGTTTTTTGGCAGGTGATATTACGACCAAAGCAAGCTCTGCAGAAACTACTAGAACTAGTAATGATATTTGTAATTGTGTACAACAAAACACTGAAGAACTAGCTAGAAAGCTAGCCAAGCTAGAAAGCTGGCTTCTTCTTAACTACTTGTGTTTATCTGTTCTACAGTAGCTAACGTACATAAATATGTGTGTTCTTTGCAAAGTTTCTTAATACGTGCATTAGTGGCTTCTTGTGTAACATTTCTTCAACTAATTTCAAGTCTAGCTGCTACAAAAAGGGAAGACGAGGACGCTGTTTTCTTGAAATGAAATACTTTGTAGTTCTAACAAAATAATACAGTAAGAATGTCAAAAAGGCTGTAAACTTTAGAGTGATCAAGAGATAGGTAGAAGTGTTGTGGGCTGTCAGCACTGCTTTAAAATTGCAGTGTGCACAAAGGTGACTACAGTATCATGTGTTATAGCATATATAAACTAGTTATAAATTATACTTTTTTTTCTTTAAGTTTGTAGTGATGTTGATCGTTGGCCACCACCAATTCCAGGAAAAATACTGCATTTGCCTATTATGGGCATTATAATGAAGGTAAATACTCCCACGCTTATTTTTCTCTGAGGGTGTTTTCCCCTCCATTTACTACATAGGTGCTCGCTGTGTTCTGCCTTGTTTTCAGCATGTCATACTTCAAAACAGGAGTAGATGTGTGCTCCACTCAGAGTGAAGGTCTGGGATATCTTCATTAGGTTTCTTGACTGGGGGCAGGAGGGCTGGATCTTTTATGGTGCATAGGTTAATATGTCATTTCAGTACAGTACAACTGTATTACAGTACAACTGCTAATTGTAGTATTAGTGTGTCAGTATTATCCTTCTGAAATATGCTTTCTAGGAGATTTTAATGCTAATTATATTTGTCAAATCAGACATTAAGTAACGCTTCAAAATACTGAAAGTTAAGTTCCAGTCAAGCAAATTGAATATATTGATGCAAATCATTCTTGGTCCTGATGTTTGGCAAGTAAAAATCTTTTTTGGCCTGCGTACTAGAAATCAATTTATTGGTCTGTTGATAATTTCCAATGAAAGTGAAATACACATGAAGAAAGCTATTAGAGAAGTTATATCTAGTGCATGGGGAGGAACTGTAGATATTAAATGGTGGCTAAGAACTGGGCCCCTGGGAACCATACCATCTTCATACGAAATGCAATTAAATGGGTTTGATGGATCCAGAGGTTACAGTTGGGAGTACATTCTTAGCAGGTAGTCTCAAGTTTATGGCTAGACGTGTGTGCATCACCAGGGAGAGGATGGAGAAGTTTCAGAAGCTGTTCTGAAAGCAGAAATTTAAGGAAGCTGTGTTCTGGATGCTGGATGATAATGATGAGTGTCAGATACGTCTTGTTTGGGTATTGCCTGCATTTATCTTATCGGTAATTCTTACCCATGAGAGTTGAAATTATGTTCCTAAAGTAAGCCAAGCTATAATTACTGTCTTCAGTGGTATTGTCTCTGGTTTTTTACACTGTTTGGACAGTCAGTTTTAATTGTTGCATCTAAATTACGTCCATTTGTGCACACCAGCTTCCAATATGATTAAATTTGTAGTAGTCAAGATGCAGGCTGCGAGGTCAGAAAAATCGTTTGTTGTTCAGTGTGTTCGGATTCTGCCGCATACCCACCAGGACGTCTGACGTGTTAGGAGAGGGCTTGTTCTAAAAGAAATTCTGTACCACCATAAAACCTCGTAACCTTATTTCAGATCGTTCTCTCCAACATCTAAACATATTTTTGTTGAAATTATTGTAATAGTTGTTACTAATGTTACCAATAGTCTTTTTTTAACTGAAGTATAATTTTTATAGTCTAACATCTAATTTGCAGTGCGGTACTACATAGCGTTACATATTGATTCCTGTAGCCATGATACGTAGTCCTCAGCTACGTGTTCGTTGTTACGGGGACGTTCTGTAGAGTAAGTTAAGCGTTGTACCGTAGCGTATCCTCTTTAAATGTTACGTCATGTTCGTAAGTCAGCATTTTCAGTCTCTTGAGTTTGATACAAGGAAAAATAGCCTGTCTTTTTCTTTCAAAGTTGCGGATTCCAACATATCGTGACAAGTCTGGAACAACGCCAATAGTACAGAATATGCACCAGGTAGAGATTAGATACTTCTACTGTATATAACCCAGATAAATATCTGCCTTCATTTTTTACTTTAAACTTGTTCATAAAAAGATTGGTAGCAAATCCTCATATACTTTGATAATAGTGAAATCTACAGTCTCTTAAACTTTGAGGTGGACTTTAGAGTTGGATTCTTCATAAAAAAGATATTCTAACCCAGTTACCCCAAGTACTTCAGAAGAGGGATGAGTGTCCAGCTCCTGAAGAGGATCGTTGGCTGACAGAATTATTGAACATCCTATTAATGAGTGAAACTATACTAAACTAGGATGAAAACAGAATAAAAAATCTTCAGCCGTAGAAGATGGATATAAAACAAACTGTGCCTTCATGTGCTGCGTGACTGTTGTTTCAAACAGCTTCGGTATTTTATGTCTTGTCTGTACTGAAAGTTGCATGCCTGTAAGTGATGTGCGTGTTGGGGGAAATCTTAGGAAATCTAAGGGAAGAATCTTAGGGAAACCTTGTCTATAGGGTATATACCATCTGCTATCTGTAAGCATTTAAGGGAAACTATTTCATTTAATACCTAGGTATTCTGATGACTAAAAAACAAGCATTGCGATGTCTTTTAGGCAGATGCTCAGATCTCTGTGGCTTTACCAACTGTTCATGAAGTAGATCTTTTCAGGTAGGAGTTTGGACTGATTTATTCCTGGTTATGAGTTCCCTCAAGTCAAATACTTTTGGTAGTTCTGTAACACACGGATAGCTTGGAAGCTAATATTTATCAGTATTGTTTTTAATATTCTTCTGTGAAGCTGGCTAGAAAACAATTTGGACAACATGCAGGCTGAAACTGCAATAAATAAGCACGTTCATTAAATGTTCTGTTTTACAAGAGTATTTTATGTTTTTCAAATGACTGTCAAATACTCCTGCAAACTTCCTTTTTGTCTAGTTCTTAACCAAATACATATTTCTTCTGGTTCTGTTAACTGTATTAAAATACCTTAATCTGTTTTTAGGTGTTTCTGTCCAGTGTTCTTTCACATTCAGATGCTTTGGGAACTGGTACTGCTAGGAGAACCGCTCGTTGTGATGGCACCATCGCCATCAGAATCTTCAGAAACCGTGCTGGCACTTGTTAGGTAAATGTAGTGGAGCTCCCTAACTAATGACCAAGTGAGTCGTTGTGCGCTGCAGCTGAGTACAACTTCATGTGATCTGAATATAACGAAGCATTGCAAACTTCAGATTTGCTTGTTTCATGAAATTCTGCACTGTATACATAGAACAAGCTTTTCCTCTTTCTGCCTTGCAGTTGCATTTTACCGTTAAAGTACTGCAGTGATTTCAGGCCATACTTTACCATCCATGACAGTGAATTCAAGGAGTATACGACTCGCACACAAGCCCCGTAAGTAAATAGAACTTTTCTGTGAAGGTGTTCCTCAAAGCCACTCATAATCATAGAATTGTTTTAAGACAACTGCTTAACTATTCTGAATGTCTACCAGTAGAAAATTCCACTTAGACTCCTTAGTTATAAGATTTAACTTGGAGTGCAGTAAGTAGCTGGTTTAAGTTTTCACTCCAGTTAGATAGGATAAAGAAGTTATGAAATAATGTCATAATTAAGCTACATTTGAGCTTCATAGGATACTTGTGTATGGAAGTAAGTAAAACTGCAAATATGCAAGCAAGAAAAGATTTGCTTTTTCATAAGGATTTGCCTTTGCAACACCAGCTCCGTAGTAACTCCTTGGGAAATGGTTCTGTAATTATTTCTGGTTTTTAAGCAATTACTAACTGAAGTGATGTCTAGAATTCAACATCCATACACGTGGTTTGTAATGTTAATCCAGTTGGCGCCTTTGTTGAGACAACAATTTGAAAAGTAAATATTTTTTCACTACATGTATTAGGAATATGTTGTAAATAATTCAGAAATTAAGAGTCTTTTTTCTTAAGAGCATGACTATCAAAACAGTTCTGTTGGAAACTGCTTTACGGACACGCTTTTCCCCTTTTTTTAATCCTACTCTTATTTTGAGAGCATACACCTCCAATATTTATTATATGTTATTTAAATGCAACTTGATTTGAGAATGGAGTGCATGTGTTAGATTCACCGATCTTTTTATAAGTATTTTTTTCTAATGTCTGCACAGGCAGCAGTTGTTGTGTTGGGGTTTTTTGTTTGTTGTTTTTTACTGTATTCTTCCTCTCAATGAAAGTATTTCCAGAGATACAGCAGTGGAAAAACATACAAACATAGGCACTGTTTCAGATTGTGTTCCATGGGAATGGTTATGCAGTATGTAATTTAGTTTCTAAAAATAATTCCAGGAAGAATTTGGTTAAACTTTAGTAACCCATGTTTTAAAACTTGCATCTGCTTCTCTGTAGCAAAATAGCAAGGTTGTTCAGTATGTACATTAGTACTTGATATAGAGCTAGAATTGCTCTGACTTTCTTAAGGAAGGCAAGAAAATTGTAAAGACTGGAAATAGGCTTTTGGAACAGCGACTAAGAAGGGGAAGAATCCAGATGATGCAGATTTTGTGTATTTTATTGCCTTGATCAAGAGGGGGGAGCAAGGGGGTATTTCTCATCTTGATGTTTTGATTATCATGCCTTTTCAGAAAATACTGCAGTGTTTTAAAATAAGAATTGGTTCTGGTAAATATGATAGATTACGACTCCTAAAAGTGACCAAGTAGGTTACCAAGTCTAGCTGTTCTATCACCAGTGGCAGTGAAACAAGATTTCGCATGATTTGTTACCAGTTTACTTTGAGATGGAGAAGAATTATTTTTGTGTGTAAATGAAAGCCTTACTTGACTGTCACACTTGATCTCTAACCTTCCAGGTAGTAAAAGGATGCCAGTTTGTGTACATTCATCTAAACCAGGTCTGTCTGAAACTTGCTTTTTGGTTCCCACAAAATACACCCAAGAAGATTTAATAATTGTATTAATTTAGGCTAGTCTTGATCCTTTCCTAGGGAGGAGGAGGAGGACACCTATTGTTTGGGTTCCTCTACAAATAAAAGAACCCAAATATCTTGTTCTTGTACAAATATCTTTCTCTTATACAAACATCAGTCACGTCAATGTGCTTTTTCAAGTACTGAGAGTTTGTTATAATCAAACCTTGAAAAGTAGTGATTTGTCTTTCAACTAGGGGTTAGATTCCTGCTCGTTTAAAAAAACAAAACCAAACAAAAATCAGACAGTCTCCTGTTCTCATCACTGCAAGTGGGTAGAATTTAGCAAGGAGTAAGCAGAAGACGTTGCTTTTATTCTCCACTACCATTTGGATTTTAAGATACATTTGTCCTGCTACTTTCTAACACTTAAAGTTTTTGAGTTGCTCTTAACGTGCAACTTAAAATGTAACTCTTGCATACAAAAGGAAAATCATTTAAAGTTAAGAATTAAAGTTGACCTTTTGTATTGATTTAAGACAGAAGCTCTTACTTTCCTGTGTAACCTCATCTGGGTGTTCCTGCTCTGGCAGGGGGATTGGACTGGATGAGCTTTTGAGGTCCCTTCCAATCCCTAACGGTCTGGGATTCTGTGATTACTGTCATATTTGAAATATTGTCATTATTTTTCTAGACCATCTGTCATTCTAGGGGTGACGAATCCTTTTTTTGCTAAAACACTTCAGCACTGGCCTCACATCATTCGAATTGGAGATATTAAACTTCCAGGTAATGTGCAAATACCTTCTACAGTTCTGTGCAAGAAGATCTAGCTGTGTGCTTATTTATTTACAAACATACATAATTTAGTTCAATTAATTTAGTTTAATACTAACCAAATCCTTATGGATGTAAACTTATCAAGTGAAATTAGGCTATTGAGTGCTGTATGTCTTGAACTGCTAAATGTAGTGTATTAAATGCATTAGGTGGTAATATGTACTGGTAAAAATGTTTTACCTTTTGCACAATCCTGTTTTTATATCTCTACCAATAAGGTATTCAAATGAGAAACATCATTGATTACTGACGGTAATTTTAGGATGAGTAGAATGTAATCAATCAGTCGCAGCAAATGCACAGAGACACCTGTGAAAGCGAAGTTTGAATGTTGCAATGATAGAAGTTGTTTGACGGTATTTTAATAATGTATTTCTCATCTGGCAATATTCTGGTAATTATTAATTGTTCAAGTTGGGTGATTTCCTTAGAGGATTGAGTGGAAGTTTAATGTAATCTTTGGATAACATGTCAATTGTTAGCCTGCAATAAAATACTGCAGTGCTCTCATTATTTTATGAAATTCCTGAATGCTGTTTGCTGTGACAGCTTCACTGTTTTGTGCTGATAGTGAGAATGCATAAATACCTGGTTAGGATAATGCATCATAACGTTCATTTTTGTAGAATGAGTTACATTCAATTTCTGAGCACATCAAGTAAATTAAGGATTATGTACTGTGTTCAACGTTACTAGGCAAGGTTTTGCTTTACTTTAAAACACCGTGCTTGTCCTTGTTTCAGAATACCTATGGCGGTGTGGGGAGGAGTTAGCTGCTGTGTAGTTAAGGTTTGGAAAATAAAATCTTAATTAAACCTCTGCAGAGTCATATACACAGGTTGCCCTCAAAGTTGATAGACAGTTTCAAGTATGAAATTCTAAAATTTTGGTACAGCTATGCAAAATGTTTAGTCAGGAAGTTCCAGAGAGAAATCTGACCTGCCTTTAAAAATATAAACTTTATTTCTTTGAGGGTGGTGGTTTTGGCGGGGAGGTTGGTGGCTGTAGGGGGGTGGTTGTGGTTGTAGCGGGGGTGTTGATGGTGGTGGTTGTTGTTCCCTTTTCTCCCCACTGCAGTTTCAATAGCAGCTTACACTGTTCGCTTTTCTGAAGTCAAGCAATCCAAGAGGAGAGTTCTGCTGAGACTGCAAGACTCTTACCAGGGCTTAGGATCTCCTGGCTGGAGAAGGCTATATTTGGGAAAAAACCAAACCAAACCGAAACCAACTTCGTTTGGCCTATGGAAAAGGAGACTTAAATTAATTTTCTTACATCACTTAAACCATGGCTACTGTCTTAACTTCTTTTATACAATTTTTATTTTGGCCAAGGTACTAAAGATTTGTTTCTGAAAGCTTTTACCCTAAGGGGAACAAAGGAAGGTGGAATAAACTTTAAAATTAATGGAACAGTCATTCACTGCTATGTAGTTGGTATTTTAATGTGGTTGCTTTGATTCAGAAGGTCGTAGTTTTGGTTTCTTGGTTTGGTTTTGTTGGGTTATTTTCTTTTCAACAAGTAACCCTTACGTAAAGTGAAAAGCCCGTATGCTGTTATTCACGTGTTTACTGGATGTTTCTGGATGTATACGTGGATGCTTGTCAGTGTTTCTAATGCTTCTTAACACTATTAGATGGTCTTCTAAATGAAAGTATCCATTTCTAAAAATCAGTGCAACGTAGAGCACAGCAACTGCAGTATCTGGTAATAGGGATGTTGATCTCAAGTAAGGTGGATTTAAATATTTTGGCAGGTGAAGTTCCAAAGCAGGTGAAAGTGAAAAAACTGAAGAACCTAAAAACTTTGGACTCCAAACCTGGTAATATGTTGCTTCAGAGTTAAATTACCAGTATTTTAGTTTTAAAAAGCATGCCAAATTTTTGCTTTGGCTATATGCTGCTTTTTTTTCTGTAGGTGTTTATACCTCTTACAAGCCATACTTGAACAGAGATGAAGAAATCGTTAAGCAGTTACAAAAGGTAATACTGCAAGTCTCTTCTGAATGGAAATTGTCATGGTGTGTTCATTTAAGGCTGGGCTCAATCTACGGAACCGAAATGAAACTGGATTCTGATTCCTTTGCCCAGGTCATAACTGAATAGATAGATACACACCCTTGTCACAGAAGAAAGGCTACAGCCTTGGTAGAGGTTTCTATAACAACGTGAATGGTGGAGCTCAAGAAGTTAGCCTAGTAACTTAGAGAATTGAAAGTTCCATCTGTTTTGGGTTTTCCACCCTCTGACATCCCCTTCTAGTCTAGTTGGTCTCATGCAGGAGGTGTGTAAGAATCAGCTTTCAAACTTTAACTGATTTGCACAAGTTTGTTTATAAAAAAAAAAAATTCTGCTTGAATTTCTTTACATGAAAATTAAAAATCAGCAATTGAAGGGATGAATATCTGTGCAAAAGGACTTGACGCTGTTGCTTTCATGTTTCAGGGTACGGGGTGCTATGTGCAGGCTGATGGCAAATGAATACAGAAACACTGGAACATTCTTTAAAAACAAACAACACAACTACTTACATGTTTTAGGGCAATACACTTACTGTGATGTTTTATTTATTTCTTTTTAAGGGTGTACAACAAAAACGTCCTACAGAAGCACAGAGCGTGATTCTTCGGAGGTATTTTTTGGAATTGACGGAAAGTTTCATTATTCCATTAGTGAGTTCTTCAAACTAACATTTTTTTACATAAGTAACTTGGAGTAGCTTTTTTGGAGTGAGTCTGACTGGATAAGGCCAGTAACTATCCAGTAACTAGCAGTGTACCCTTGTGGTCGAGACTGGGTCCTGTTCAACATCTTCACTAGTGATCTGGATGATGGCACAGTGTGTACCCTGAGCAAGTCTGCCGGTGGTACGAAACTGGGAGGAGTGGCTGATACACCAGAGGGTCGTGCTGCTCCTTGGAGGGACCTCAACAGGCTGGAGGAGTGTGCTGGCAGGAACTTCATGCAGTTCAGCAAAGAGAAATGCCAAGTAGGGAGGAATACGCCTATGCAGCAGTATATACTGGGCGCTGCCAGGTTGGAAGGCAGCTTTGCAGAAAAGGATCTGAGGGTCCTACTGCACATGAAGCTGAACATCAGCCAGCAAAATGCCCTTGAGGCAAAGAAGGCCACTGGTATCCTGGGCTGCATTAGGAGGAGTGTTGCCAGCAGGCTGAGGGAGGTGATCCTTCCCCACTGTTCATCACTCTTGAAGCCACACCTGGAGTATGGTAACTGCTTACCAAAATCGTTAAGCAGTTCTGGGCTCCTCAATACCAGAAAGAGATGGAGGTAGTAGAGGGAGTCCAGTGAAGGGCCACTAAAGTGACTGAAGAACTGGGGCATCTTTCATATGAGGAAAGGCTGAGAGTGCTGGGACTGTTTAGCCTAAGAGAAGGTTCAAGGTGGGGGGAAATCTTATCAATGTATATTAATCTGAAGAGAGATTATAAAGAAGATGGATCCAGGCTTCTTTCAGTGATGCCTAGTGACAGGACAAGACACAGTGGTCTCAAACACAGGAGGGTCTGTCAGCCATTACAAAACACGTTTTTACTGTGAGGGTGACTGAGCATTGGAACAGGTGAGGTTGTGGAGTCTCTATCCTTGGAGATACTAAAAAAACTGGGCATAGTCCTGGGCAGCCTGCAGGTGTGCTTGAGCAGGGGAGGAAAGAGGGGAGTGGACCAGTGACCTGTAGATGTCCCTTCTAGTTTCAACCATTTTGTGATTCTGTGAGAAATATTTGAGCTACAGAAATTTACCATTAGGTTCTGTCTTGACTTTTCTAAGATACTGTAGCCTTACAATTCTTTATTTACTGTACTTAGTATAAAAACGATGAAGGCCATAGATTAATGTCAAAATGAAATGTTTATATGCCAAGACAAAAGGTTCTCAGAAAGGAATGCTGCTTCTCGCGAGACAGCATTTTCAGATGTTAGCTTGCAATGCACTGTGTAGCATTTGCACAAAGCAAAGCTGTGTGTATATTTAACACTGAGCAGGAAGGAAATTTCTTTAACCCGTACTCAATACTTGTAACTGCTGTCTGCTGTTGAAACTTTTTTTAATTTCTATTTAAATGTGAAGGTGTTTCCCCAGACCTTGAGAAATGTCAATACTGAAAAGGTAGAGTTGGAAAGCTGTATAAGTTTATACTCCTGTAGTAATTTGCTATGATAGCTGAGGGGATACTACAAAGTAATCTTTCACAGATCAAAATGTATGGCCTTTTGCATACAAGCACTTTCAAAATGTATAGCAGCTTATATTGATGTGCTTGTGTTAGCTGGCACAGTGGTGCTGCCTCCAGTCATCAGACCTTAAGCTTCAGCAGTGGCCTTGCTGAGAAATGTCTCCACTGCTCATATGTTTGTTGTTGGGGCTCTAGCCATGCCTTTGCTAAGTGTTACTACTACAGAGATGGCCACAGCTGATAGTGTTTGGTAGGTTGATCTTTATTTAATGTTTGTATGAGAGATGGTGAAAATCACTTCCAAATACTTGATACAAAGTGGGATTGCTGTTTGGAATCACTGGTGATATGAAGGTACCTGTGGACTGTCATCAATGAAAAGAAAGGTTATTAAGAAAGTGGCTGGAGTTCAGGATATATATATATATATATATATGTGTGTGTGTGTGTGTGTGTGTGTGTGTGTTTCTGTATAATCCATGTATGTGTTTGCTTCCTGACACCCTTTCCCCCATGTCCGTCTTGAATCTTGTTGACGTAAAGTTCTGTAGTTGGGAAATACAAATGGTCTTAGATAAGCTCCTTCTTACGCTCTCATGTAGTGAATATGCATGACCTCACCCTGTACCAATACTCAGAGGGGAAAATACTGTGGTCACAAGTGATAAGTAAACATACACGTGGACTCTGTATCTCTCAACAGCCTTTCTTTCTCCTTTCCCTAGGAACGTTACGTGGCAAGCCTAATGCCTTTGCAGAAATGCATATCACCATGGAAGGTAAGGAAATACAATTTGAATGACCTGGAAATTGGTGATTAGAGAAAACAGTTACGGTATGTTAGCGGTTTTTTTGGGTTTTAGTTGTTTGTTTTCTTTCAATAGAGTCCACCACAGCTGAGGCAGTTTAGCCAAGACGACTTCTTGAAGACACTGGAAAAAGCAGGACCGCAGCTCACATCAGGCTTAAAAGGAGACTGGATAGGACTTTACAGGTAATTTCTATCACCAGCATCAAAGCATTGTATCAATGAAGACAAATCAGTATGCTTTTTTCCCCGAACAAAATTATTGACAGTATTGATTTGAGTAAGACTTACTTTCAGAATATGTGCTATTAATAGGCGTTGATAGTGCTTAGTATATTTTACTTGCTTAAATCTGTTTCTCTGTAACCTGTTAATGATTTTCTCAAGATGCTACTAACACTACAGGTCTCTGTATGCTACTGTTATTTTTGGGTTTATTTCTGGTTCTAACTTGATTCCTTCTTCCAATCAAACACAAAGATAACAATGAGGATATTTCAAACTGAGCCTTGCTTTTTTACTGACAAAATTCCTCATCTTTGTTGTCTTTCAGATACCTTTTATTTATATTGTTCTCTCAGTCTTGTGATTAACAGAAGCACCTGTTACACTCCACTTCGGAATAGTACTTTTTTTTATTAAAGGGTCCCAATATTATCTTCAGCCTCAAACATAATTACTTTACATTTGATGATGTAGAAGAACGTGCTATCAAAATTATTATTAAAATATAAAACATATTTTGCTTTCATGTTTTACCAGGCATTTTTTGAAATCGCCCAACTTCAATGGTTGGTTTAGGAGTCGGCAGAAAGAAATGACACAGAAGTTGGAAGCCCTTCATTTAGAAGCACTCTGTAATGAGGTTAGGAAAAATGTGTGTTTATGAGTGTATTTATCATATTGTAGTAAAAATATATTCACCCTCGAGTCAGTTTTACTCCTCCTGTTTGCATTGGTTGAACATAAAAATATTGACAGTTGTGTCAAGTCTGATCTAGCAAAACATGAATGTGTTAACCCAAGTACAAGCTAGAACTAACATAGCAAAAGAGGACAACATGAAATGCAGTTCACTCCTTAAAAATTGCTGTCATAATTTGTAAAAATCTTCAGTCCTTTTTTGTTTTGTTGTGTACTTTGAAATTGAATATCCCCATCCCTCCACAGAAAAGGGGTTTTTTCCTCTTATTTGATAATGTTACTTCATTCAGCTTCCTTCGTTGGCATTCCAACACGTTTTTAGTTGTGATACAGTTTGTAGTGTTGAAGGTAATTAGATAGGGGAGAGTAAATAAGCCTACATGTGAACCATAGTCATTGGAAGCTGAGGCGTGGCATCTGCTTATTGATATATTACAAAGTGCCACATAAATGATCTTACCATGTAAGATCCAGTCTTTACTTAAAAAGCTGAAGTGGGTATCAGTATAATTGGAGTCAGAACAATTGATATCTATATTATTGCAAGAGGAGAAGGGATTGTACAGCTGAAGAGGGAATAGGAAGAACAAGAAAAAAAAAGTCAACACCACAGCCTTAAAGCAAACAAAACATTGTGCTGGTTATTTTTAAAAAGCCATTGATTTTTATCCCTTGCCTTGTCAGTTTCTAAACCAGTACGTTGTAGCAACCCAAATAGATTGTTCAAATAGAGCAGCCCACATAATTTTGAGGGCAATAGCTAGGTCAATTTTATCACCTAGAATCTATCGAACTATATTTGACATTAACTAACTGCAAAGGGAACGTCACAGACTGTCGTATTACTGACTCTGCTCCTTAGTATCTTTTGATGCAAGTGTTAACATCTTTCTCTACATGAGCAACTGTCTTTCATAGGTTAACAGTAAAGGGGTAGGGGAACAGACCTTCCATAAGGAAATTGACTTAGTGAATATGTTTTAGAAGTTATCAACTATGTGATCTCCTTTAATGCCCTAGAAACAAAAAGAGCAGCCTGGCACTATTTTAATATTTCATTGTGCTGGCAGATTGGGTAAACATCCCCTGCCATTTTGTATGTAGATGCTATTTTTGAAACTAAGGCCTGTTTGGGATGATTTTTTTTTATTTCTTTGTATTGTGTTTGTGTCCTGGTCTCCTGTTTTGATAAGTCCTGGGCAAACATGCAAATAAAGCAGATTTTGCAGTTCACAGTAGAGACAGCACATGAGTAAAATGAGTTTAGTAAATGGCATGAGAATAAGGAAAAACGGAAGACCCATCCTGAACAGTAGGTGTAGATTAATGCTACTTCTGAAAATTATCTATGTTGCAATAAATATTTCAGTGCTTAATTTTTATTCTTTTAGAACTTGGTTTTCTGGAGTCAGAAGCATACTGAAGTAGAAACAGTGGATCTTGTCTTAAAGTTGAAGAATAAACTGGTAAGTAACTGAATTGAATATGGCTCAAATTTGCCTGTCTTAACTAAATAAAAGTATTACACTGTTGTGTTTACAAGTAGTTAAATGAAAATATTCTTTAAGGTCTAGGTAGCTCAAGGGATCAGTCATTCAGGTTTGTAAAACAATCGGTTCATTTCAGCCATGACTGAGTTTCCAGCTCCCCAACATCTTCTGGCTGTGTTGGAAACACAGCACTGATCTTGTGGTTTTTTTAAACTAGTTGAAACTTTGTGACCGATCTGAGTGGGAGCAAGGCTGAATCCTCAGCGAAGAAGAAAACCAAACTTGTTGTGCTTGCTGAAAGTCCCAAATCGGTGTTAGCTCATGCTGGTGTGTGGTTGTTGAGGAAACCTGCTATTGTCCAGATTCCTACTGAGTCAGCAAATGAGGACTTCATTTTCCAGATTCACTAATACGTCACTTTGGTGTGTCTTAAGGTCAACTTGCACTTTTAGTAGAAATGATATTTTATTGTACTTTTGCAGTTGCAGGCTGACAGAGAACAGCTTCCTGTGAAAACTGACACACTGAAAAAGCTGCAAACGCACATCAATGATATCATACTAACGCTTCCAGATGACTTACAGGACATCTTGCTCAAAACTGGCACAACGTGATTTCTACTGAGTGTTTTTTGCGCTGAAAACAAATGTCAAATGTAGTATAACAGAAGGCAGTGGCTTAACTTCAGAACACAGCTCTAAATAGTATATTAACACTACGAATGGACTGTACTAATAATATAGCCTGCTATATTATTTTCACTGGTTTTTTTCCACTGAAATACCAATGCAACTAAAGGAATTCCTGTGTCTAATAATGTTTGAAATAAGTGCTCTTAAAGAAATCTGTGGGCATATGAGACTATACCACCAGGTATGACCATGGTGCAGTGCTGGCATTGCAGAATGTTTTCTATTTGGTGCTGCTATACCCAATCCTGTTAACTCAGGGGTAAGCAATATTGATCCTGTACTGTCCTGTTAAAGCAGTATCTGCTTCCCTCCCCTGCCCCCTCCTTTTTTTTCCTGTTAGTTTTTATCTAGTGATAAGCCCAACTGCAAATTATTAGATTTGGTCAGAATACATTGCAGTTGAGGTATTTTACTGGTAAGTCATTGCTTTCAGAACTGTTTCAGACAGCTCAAATAATCAGATCAGTTCTTAACTTACTTCCTTTCTCCTCCTTACCATCTTCCAAACCCATATTAATTTAGCATCTTTAAAGAACAGAAGGCAGCTGACAGAAATTTCCTGAAGAGAAGTCTCTTCCATTCAGTGTCAGCTGATAAAGGTGCTCTTACTTGCATGCCTTAAGTATAAAGTAATTGTGTACTAATTGGTGGTTTTAAACTGCTGATGTTCAGGATTTGAAGTGTATCACTAGTGTAAATACAAGTATGCAGTATTGATCACAGGAAATAAACATGGTGGTGGTCTAATTCAGATTTTAAAATCAGTTATTTCAGTAGGGTTAGCTGATACCCAGTCTGTTTCAGTTGGAGACCACAGCAGTCAGCTCCTGTCATAAACTTTTTATTGTCATTTTTAATTGTTTTTACTGGTACCAGTGGGGTGTTTGAGGAGGTAATGGGGCTGGAAGGAGAAGGTGTTTGCTTCAGCTGAAAGAAAGCCTATGGAAGGGCCAAACTGTGGCAAGACAAGATTGTAGCATGAAATTATTCTCATTGTATGCATACAGCAGTCGTGCATAAAGAAAATTTCCTCTTGCAGGAAGAATGTAATATTTATCTTCAACAAGTTTCAGTGGTATATAAGAACTCAGCTACTCCATGTGCAGTGTTGTACTTTGACCAGTTTCAAGTAGAATGAACTTAATGCTCTACTGTACACACAGCATACACTTTTATATGACAACTGGATCACAATTCTAAAAAACCCTCTGCTTTCAAGTGCTTGGATGGATTTTTTTAAAACTTACGACATAATCCTGCTACAAGAATATGCTTTTGTATAATAAATATTTCATACCATCTTTAAAAATGTCTTATTTAGATATAAAGTGTCACAACGGTATTTTTATGAAAATATGTATTTTAATACTGTTATGGTTTGTATACAATTACTCATGACCAAAAGTTTAATGTATCTGTTATGTTACTTAAACTACACCACTTCAGCATTAATTTCTAACTTGCAGACTTTTTCTTTTGCACATTGTGATGAATAGCATTTCTAATCCAGAAATTAGTAAGTGGGCATTCTTATGCTAAATTATCTTAAATACTTAACCTGGAGCACTGTGTAGTTTCTCGGAACCATGTAAACCGGTAACAACTATAACTGTCATATGAATGCAAATATGTATTTTTGTAAAAGAAAATAAAGGGTTTGATTTTTATTTTTTTCTTTGGGATCTGTGTGACTTAGATGATGCATGGCTTGCTTGTTTGTTTGGTTGTTTTCCCCCTCTCCTGTGTAAGCAGAGCTGTTTAGCAGG